ATCAGCTGTCCGTACTGGTGACAGAGCACTTATGGTTTATAACCGTGTGCAATGACGCTGGTTCACATCTCCCGACTTTACCTTTACCTTACTACCTTCAGAAGCCGGACTTTTTTCAAAAATTCAAAAATGACCTTGGTTGCCAGGTAGACGCAGCCTTGAGTGGGTACCGGGTGCAGTCCCGGGAAGTAAAGGCGACCGGCGTGATGCTGACCACATCATCCATGTTGTGCTGATTGGTCTATAAAAAAATAGGTCTAGCCCTGTATGCCCTATACGCCGAAAGGCGTGGAAAAGGGTCCTTTACTTACTTACTTACTTACTACCTTCAACAAACAAGTTAAAGCCCTTACCACATGCCGGCGCATTTGGCATATTGTTCTAGACACGACATGTCGGCATTTAGTGGGTGATGTGATCATCACGCCGGCCACCTTTACTTTCCAGGATAGATTCTATTCTCATTTAGGGCTGGGTCACTTGGTAGCACAGGTCTTAACTATTTATAGAAAGAAAAAAAAATCATTCTAGGTGCAGACAAACTTTTTTGCTGGCATACCAGGACAGTCCTTCATGGCATGAAGTCATTACAATGTTATTGATGGAAACGTGTTATGCGTTTACTTCATCTGCGCCGTTTATTGCTATTTTTTTGTCTTTGCCATATGACTTTCAAAGCCTAGAAACTGTTCAAATGTGTCAGTTTTCAGTGAAACTAAATCAGTCCGGTCCTGCAGGCATGTCAAACTGTCGGCCTGCGGATCACATGCGGCCCTTTGCAAGCACACCTGCAGCCCGCACTAAGGAAATATTCTGCAATATTTTTGTAAATGAAATGACTCCCGTTAGTTGTCGTATGCAGCCCTCGTGGCGTTAACACTTAACCCAGATGGCTGGGTCAGTTTGTCATGCCTGAGATTATGTCCTAACAGTAAATGTTGATCAACTCGCCATGTTTTCGTCTTGGTTCACCACTCTGTGAGACTGTTATTCGCCCATCTCTTGATAGTGTCTTCCCAATTATATCACCGTGTTGCCGGGGACTTCTAGCTTCAGTAACGTTTTTGAGGAAGCACCGCTGGTCGAACGCGTTAGGAACACAGTGCTCTTATTTGGGGGACACAGGTTCGAATCATCGGTAAAGTTATAACAAATGTTTCTCTGTCAGAGGCAAAAATAAAATCCTAAACTGCACAGTCCGTGTAGACAGCGTTAGCCTTGCGGCCATAAATCCTCTTGATATGTAGTTGCGTAGAGAAACAGACAGGCAGACGGAGACAGATGGACGGACGGACGGACGGACAGACAGACAGACAGAGACAAAGAGAGACAGGGAGAGACAGACAGAGAGAGACAGACAGGGAGAGACAGACAGACAGACAGAGAGACAGGGAGAGCGACAGACAGACAGACAGACAGACAGACAGACAGACAGACAGACAGACAGACAGACAGACAGACAGACAGACAGACAGACAGACAGACAGACAGACAGACAGACAGACAGACAGACAGACAGACAGACAGACAGACAGACAGACAGACAGACAGACAGACAGACAGACAGACAGACAGAGAAATGACAGAAGCAAAGAAGAGAGGATATGGAAAGGGGGTGAGGGGGAGACAGACCGAACTGAAGAGCTGTTCGGAGTGGAGAGAAAGAAAGGTAAGAAAGAAGATAGAATGAGACAAAAGTTGAACGAATAGATTTTATTCTCTGAGTGTTAAGAACTTTATCACGCAGGCGCGTGGAACATTCTGACCTTCTAAACTCACTCCTTTCATACATCATTTCATTCATACATCTTTTAAAGGTTAATATCAAATAATAGCAGTTACTAACTGTTAATTACAAATGTTAGAATGTTCTCGAATTATGACCACAGCAAAAGAGGTTCATGACATGTAGGTTTCAGAACCGCTGAGTCCTCTAACAGTCTACGACTCAGTAAACGAACTCGATTTGCTATATATTCAATCGTTTTGTTTGCAAGTCTTCTGTATTCTGCACTGCGCTATCGAGCGACGCAGCCACGACATCTATATTTAACTAGCGAAATCCGTGCGTCGTGGAGGACTCAGCCACAAAGTTGCTAAATATGCAGGTGCACTTCACAGTTTGGCAGCTGTTTTTTTTTTTTTTTAACCCAAGCTATGTATTGATGTTTTTATGCCATAGCGGAATGAGATGATAGCGTACTGGAATCGACGTGAGAGTCGGTCTGAGAGGTGCTCACTTAACTTAGTTTGTTCCAGGTGGCTGCATATTTGAGCTGTCCCTTGCTGGTGGGGTTTCAGTAACGATTCGGGGGTTGTCAGGGCGATATTCTAAGGGGCAAGACGACTGCGTGAACCAAGTCAGTAGAGGTTTGAAAAAAAACGGATTAACATCATGGCACACTGGTAGTAACCCATAAGTCTCCCGTTCTTCTTCTAATTTAAGTCTGAGTTCTGAAGAAGCTCAGCACAGTGCACAGGCTTTGTAGCACCGGTGAGGATCCTGAAATACTTTGCGTAGATTTTAAACTCTAAATTTTTGCTCGGGCCGCGCCGTTAGGCTACTCTTTTCGATTTCCAACTGCAAAGGGGTTTTTTAATGTGCGCAACAAATCACACGGGCGTCTAATCTCACTAACCAGAGACTAGGGGGAATTACTAGGTCCAAGTCCATGTGAAAAAATCCCAGCCCTTACCTGGGATTGAACTCGGAACCTCTAGCACTCGAGGCGGACATCATACCTCAAGACAACGCAGCCCCCCCCCCTCCCAACCCCAAGTAAATAGAAACAAAAGGAACAATTTTACGCTTTTGGAGGAGCAACCTGTGTGAGTTCTGGGGCCACACTGGAAAAGAAGGGGGGGGGGGAATGTGTGTGTGTCAGGTTTCGGTACAACTGTCGAAAACAAATGCAAGCAAATCGTCAGCAGCTGGAATCGAACCCGGCACCTTGGCATTACGAAGAGCGTTCACAGGGCCTGAGCCACAGAAGAGATGTACATGATGTTTCTGCAGATCTTATAAAGGCATAATATGTCTGTCTGTCTGTCTGTCTGTCTGTCTGTCTGTCTGTCTGTCTGTCTGTCTGTCTGTCTGTCTGTCTGTCTGTCTGTCTGTCTGTCTGTCTGTCTGTCTGTCTGTCTGTCTGTCTGTCTGTCTGTCTGTCTGTCTGTCTGTCTGTCTGTCTGTCTGTCTGTCTGTCTGTCTGTCTGTCTGTCTGTCTGTCTGTCTGTCTGTCTGTCTGTCTGTCTGTCTGTCTGTCTGTCTGTCTGTCTGTCTGTCTGTCTGTCTGTCTGTCTGTCTGTCTGTCTGTCTGTCTGTACGTACGTAGTAACAGTTTATGGAATGCTATGATGACTTTGGAATACCTTATTTATTTACCATGACCAAACTATGTATGGAAGACATTTATAATATAACAATATATAATGGCAGAAAGTTAGAACCTTTCCAAATACCATCTGGTTTAAAGCAAGGCTCTGCTCTGTCTCAACTTTTTTTTTCAAACTGGAAACAATTGACAGGAAATTGAAAGAAGAGTGTACTAGAAGAGAAACTACAAGAATATGTAAATATGCAGATGACATCGATATCGTTGGAGAATGAGTGAGGACATCTATCAAGCGATAAAACACCCGGTGACACAAAGGCCACCATTCAGTAGAGAGGTCCGAAAAACCCCGTTCAACCGTTAGGTTATATTAGGGCCCCCGACTGCACCAAGGTGGGGCTTTAAACAAAAACCTAAAAATTGCTCACCTATCAAGACGAAAGAAGATACAATCGTTGAAGAAAATGAACTAGTGAATATAGAAACGCTGACTCTCTTAAAAGAAGCAGTTCACAAAATTGGTTAAGTATCAGTCAAGATAAGACACAATACATAATAATAACAAGAAAGGGAGATGATATCAACTCTAGCCACATAACGATCAATAATATGAGAATCAAACGAACGGAAACATGTAAGTACCTGGGACTGCTCCAACAAGCTGAGAGAAGAAACGCAATCTAGAATACAATCTGGATATAAAGTGTACTATGCCCTCAACATCTGCTGAAGTCAGAGTCTCTATCTCGCAACGTCAAAATCAGAATGTATCAAACGTTGATAAGACCAATCGTTTTATACGGCTCTGAAACGTGGATCACAAATAAAAGAAATAAAGCTCTATTACAAATGTTCAAAAATAGTGTTTTATGACGAATCTTCTGACCCATCAAACATGCAAACAGCGCAGGAAATGGAGAACGAGAAACAACAACAAAATTCATAATATGTTTAAATCACCGTTGATCACTGGTATCATGAGAGCTAACAGACTGAAATAGCCGACTGAAAGAATGTCAGATGACAAAGAGGTAAATTTCTGTATACACAAGGGAGCTGAATGGTCGTTGACCGCGAGTGAGACCAAGAGGACGATGGGAAGATAATATTCAGACAGACTTGCAAACACTTGGTGTCACCAGCTGAAAAGAGAAGACCAACCAGAAATATGAATGGAGGAGGCTGGTAGTTTTTGCAGCAACGAACCTCAAGGGCTCGGAACGCTGAAGAAGAAGAAGAAAAAGAAAAAAAAAAGAAAGATGACGGTTCGCCCTCTCCCCCCCCCCCCAATCTCACCCCCCCCCCCTCGACCAAAAAAAGATGAAAGACGCTTCTCCTGCCATTTCTACGCCCGGTATAAGGTGTGCTGCAAGGACTGATGTGACTAATGTAGCTACCAGGAATGATGTGACTAATGTAGCTACCAGGAATGATGTGACTAATGTAGCTACCAGGACTGATGCAAGTAATGTAGCTACTAGGACTGATGTAAGTAATGTAGCTACCAAGACTGATGTGAGTAATGTAGCTACTAGGACTGATGTAAGTAATGTAGCTACCAGGACTTATGTGAGTAATGTAGTTACCAGGACTGATGGAAGTAATGTAGCTACCAGGACTGATGTGAGTAATGTAGCTACTAGAACTGATGTAAGTAATGTAGCTCCC